CCGCGCCGCGCCGCCGCGCCCCGACTCCGCGGGGGCCGGGGGAACCGTGGTCGAACACGTGGAGTGTCCGCGCAGGGTCACCCCCACCCCGACTCCACGCGGAATGTCCTCGCGGGGCGTCCGCGCGGGGTCCCCGTCTCCACGCGGAATGTCCTCGCGGGGCGTCCGCGCGGGGTCCCCGTCTCCACGCGGAATGTCCTCGCGGGCGTCCACGCGCGCTCGGTCTCGGGCTGCGCCCCGCGTGGCGGCGGAGCGACCCTTGGCTGAGAGCGCTGTGTCTCGGCCCCGCGTAGAAGAGTGTTATCGCTGGCTTTCGTAAGAGAGAGAACCGGGCTGAAGGGTTAGCGGCTTTGCAGTGAGTCTGATATTTATCTTATATTATTAAAGGTCACTCCGCGAGCAGGGAGTTGGGAGAGAGCGAGCTGGATAAAAATAGCGTAAGGACGCGCGTGCAGCCTGTCCTGGGGGAGAGGCAGGTAGCGAAAAGCCGCAACAGTCAGAAGCAAGAAGTTCGCCTGGGAGCAGAGCGCCGGGAGCGTCGTCGCCCGCCGCTAAATTCCGCTAATGAGTTCATGGGACAGGCGCCCCGCGCTGCAAGTCACAGCACAGCTATGCGGAGGGCGCTGTGCTTAAATAAACTTAACTATTTCTGCCGTCTTAGTCACACGGTACTAAGTGGACCGCACAGTGTTCCGGTCAGCGCTAGCGCTGGCCTTTTACAGGTTAAATTGCTGCGATGAAAGACTCAAAATATTCGTTTTTTACAATTCTTTTGGCTTTCCGGGTCTGGGAATGAAAAAAAAAAATGCATGATTAATCGAATGAAAGGAAAAAATGTTTGGGGAAAGATCTCTTTAGTATAAATGAACTTTGATTATTGTAGCAGATTTCAGATCCTTCCAGTTTCTGAAAGTATCTTCTGACTGATGCTTCTGAGGAAGAATTGTACGAAAAACGTGCGCCATTCTTATTTTACCCACAATAACACACCTAAAAGACCGTGAGCAAAAATCCCAAGATTCATTTAAATCCAGTTTTCCTCATTACAGTTATGGATGTCATCCACTTTTTGTAGATTTGCACTTAAACTCATTTTCAATTGAATGTAGTGAGTAGCAATTATTCCTGCATACCTTAAAGTGGAACCTGTGCTATTTTTGAAAAAGTGACATGTCAGGCTGATCCTTGTCAAAATGTATGTCATCTTCAGCGACTATATTTAGCATCAACAAAGGAATGCATTATCTAGGTTTGAACAGTATTTTTCCCCTGAAATTTCCCTTGAAGTAGGTTAGAATTTCATCTGTGAACAAAATCAAAACTAAGTATGTCTGTTTGGGAGATGTTAATTGGGGATTTAGAATGCTTGGGACCCAGGTGGCCTGAAATGTTTCGGGTACTTCATCTATGAAAAAAGAAATCTACCTGATATCTTTGAAAGGGCTGCAGGAATGAAAAGCGTTACTGAAATAAATATGGAGGAGGGGTGTGTGTCTGAAAGAGAGGTCACAGTGAATGTAGAAAAGTACGCGGCGGATAGGGCGCTCCGCAAGGTCGTGCAGGAAGAGGGCTTTTAGTCTATTTTGTGATCACGGAGGCCACACACACAGCTTGGTAGCTTATAATTCAGAGGAAACTGACCTACAAAGTTCCTAGCACTACATGTTTCTGTTCCTATTTAATCAGTCTGTGATCTGTGTCACCTGTCGTTTCTTCCACGTTTGCTGGTTTTATGTATGTTACACACACGCGTGCACACACACACACACACACACACACACGAGCTGGGTGCTCGGTTTTTTGCTTTTTTTTTTTTTCCTTTTTGAGACAGGGTCTCGCTGTGCAGTTCAGGCTGGCCTTGAGCTCACTTTGTACCCCAGGCTGGTCTCGAACTTCCAACGATCCTCCTGCCTCAGCTTCCCGAGTCCTGGGATTACATGTGTGCACCACCACGCCGGGCTGAGCTGGGTGCTTTGTATGGAAACATCCAGTGCAGTCTGCTGGCAACTTTGCTGGGGGAGCTGAGGGGGCCGGGGCCGGGCCCTGGGGTCCCCAGGGTCCCTTTGGTCAGAGCGGCCATGGCCTGGCCTGTGCTGCATGTGGCTGGGTGGGCAGGCGAGGCGGGGGCGTCCACGCCTGCGTGTGATTGAGGCTTTCAAACTGTGGCGATAGAGAAGGTGGCTCCGTGTGTGACAGCCCAATGCCTGGGTCTCTCTGTTCACTCCCAGTCTTTCCCTACGTACAGGCCTTGCCCTGGCGGTGTTTTCTTTTGCTTTTTGTTTTTGTCTTTTTGAGACAGGGTCTCATTATGCAGTGCAGGCTGGCCTTGAGTTCATTTTATATCCCAGGCTGGCCTCGAACTCGAAGCAATCCTCCTGCCTCAGCCTCCCAAGTGCTGACATTATAGGCAGGCGCTACATGCCCAGCCCCCTAGCAGAGTTTCTCTGGATGAGGCCCTGCTGTGCAACCTCGAGGGGCCCTGTGGCTCCCGCCTCTTCTAGGTGCTCAGCAGGTGATTCACTCCGCCCTCTCTCTGGCTTCTCCGCTTCTCCTCGCTTCCTCTCTGTGTGGTTGTACGGTAGGTGGCATTTTCTGCCTCCCTTGTCCTGTGCCTCTCGCCTGCCCTGCCTGCCCTGTGCTTCTGCCTCCCTCCTCCCGGCCCATGCCGGCCTCCCCCTCTACGGTCCATTCATTTAGATCAGGGGCCACCAGTGGTTTTCATTGGTTTTTTTTTTTTTTTTTTTGGTACCAGGAATCAAAGTCAGGACCTTGCACTTGCCAGGCAGGCACTTATGCCACTGAGCTATATCACCAGCCCTCAGGGGCCACCAATGGATAATTAAAAAGCCATTTCTGGAGACATCGATTTGCCCAAGAATTGGCATATTTTATGTGACTACTTCGCTGTAATCTTCTCTTGAGAAGTGGCAGGTCTGGGAAGATGGGCGTACATTGCTGCCGGCGGCAAGACTCCAGAACTGTCATGGTTGCCCCGGGCGGGACCTGCTGCCCTTTGGACGGTCTCCATGACCCTCTATTGTTTTACACCTGATCACACTCCTTTGCCTTACTGCGCAAGTCACTTCCAGGACCTTAAATGTGGCGGACCCGGCCCAAGAGCCCTGAGGTTGCAGTTCCTGATATAAGTGTGTGTGAGGCCTGTCCGATGGGTGATGTGCTGGGAAACCTGTTGGATTTAGCATCGAGTGGCTGGACGTTATTTTTAATTTTGAGACAGAGTTTCACTGCGTTGCTAAATTGCTCAGGCTGGGCTCAGACTTGCAGTCCTGCCTCAGCTTCCCAGAGCGCTGGGATTACAGGCGGGCGCCACCGGCCCGTGGAGCACCTGGAGTTAAATGTTGTAGGTATGTTTAGGTTAGCAAGGGTCCTTAGATCCTGTGCCTTGCGAAGAGTTCGCATTGATAACAGCTTGACGATCAGACCCGGAAGGGATCTCTGTGGGTAACCTGGACAAACCAAGAACCCTACCTGTGGGCCCCAGGAAGCCCAGAGCAGACAGTCAGGTAAGGAGCCTGTCCGAGCCCTCACACATAGTACATCTTTCCCTTTGAGGAGTGGTTAGATTTTTGCGATGCCAGAGCTCGCCTTAAAGAGGAATTGACTACCGCCCTGGCTTTGCTTCTGCCTCTGCCCCATGTGTCCGGAGCCGGAGGCCTGGGCTCGGGCCCCAGTTCTGTCCCCAGGGAGAGACCGCCGCGGACGACGAGGCCCACGCTCTCCCAGCACCCAGGCCCCGGGAAGCCCAGGCGCTATGTTCCCCGCTCAGCTGAGTACACAGCGCCCTCCCATTCCCGATGGCGCAGTCACCCTCCGCAGGGCGTGGCGTCCTCCGGCTCCTTTGGGGTCGCACAGTGTGACCGCGGCGCCGTTCACCCGGGTCAGTCAGGCGGGGAGCTGGGCCGCTGTGCGCGCTGAGTGCTGTGTGCGACAGGACCTAGCGGCCC